TTGGCTAAAGGCACAGGTGCAACAGTCATTGTTTCAAGAGACTGTGTCGACCAGTTTTTCAACGTCCTTGATTGGGTTATTTAATTAGAGTGTATTGTGCGCTTTTACCATTTATATCCATCAAAGTTTGTTTTGCATCATCATCATCATGATCATCATCGACATCATCCTGTATTCGTCCACTGCTAAACATAGGACTCTGTCTCTCTCTTGTCGGAATACTGAAACGTTACTCAATTTTAAGTCGTGCTTAAATATCGTGCCATCTCTATCATTTTGTAAAGAATTTGTGGAGACAGAACTATACTTAAGCGCGACTTAAAATTGCGTAGCGTTTGAGTATTCCGACATCTCTCTCTCTGTCTTGCATGCTTGCCTTTATATTTATACCAAGTCGACAAGATTAAATATAATTAAGCTTAACATATAATTTTTTGCTACACCAAACGAAATACCAATTTATACACACAAAAACTGACCCAGCAACCGCTTTACAATATCCGGCAGATATTTATGACAGTGACAAAATGTTGCGCTGTCAATACGTCACACGTCACGCCATCTAGTCGTGGACAGCAAAAACAGGACCCATATAAATTGGAAACGCATCTATCTTGGATATCGTGATGTCCGTAAAGTTTGGGCTTGTGATGCTTGCAAAAAGTTTAATATTAACAGTCGATATAATATCATAGATAAGGTTAAAGGGATGCAGTGTGCGAATAATATCTAAAATAGAATATAGCGATAGATTATGTTATAGGCCTTATAATAGTTGGTAAAAAAACTACTAATGTTTTTTTTATACCACGACTGTGGTAAAAAATCACACAGCCTACCTGATGGTAAGCGGTTACCGTGGCCTATGTACGCTTGCAGCAGTTGGGGCATTACATGCGTCTGGCCGACCCTTAATAAACCTATTTACTCCCCTCTTGAAAAACCCCATGTTGTAACCCACTGGGAAAACCATGTGAAAACAATACTAATATATTCTGAGAGAGGAGAATAGCAGATTACTTTATTACCTAAGTCGATTTTAATTAAGAAAGAGGCCGGAAATCAGAACCAACCTAGAAATTGTTAAAGAACCTAGAATGTGAGTCATGTGTGGCGCCATAATAACAACAGACAAGAATCCTACCAATAAAGCAGTTATATGATCAAATCATGCCGGACTTTGAATCATGTTAATCGGTTTTAATTGATAGAAATCAAAAGGATGTATAATTTTTTGATTCACAAATTTTATTCCACTGACTGACTCATAAAGACTCTATGACTCAAAATTTTACTATATGTCTTTCAACATCTTCATACTACATTGTATGATTCACAAAAAGAAATGTAAGATGTTAATAATTTCAGTGTTATCGCATCATAACTTTGGGAGAAAGTTATCCAAGTGATTCATACACATCGAGCGATGAAAATCCAGTATAAACTGATCGTTGACTGTGCAGAGATTTCGTACAATGATAGACCATGATAAACTGGATTGTATAGCTTGATACGGAGCCCAGTGCAAGTGACCTTTAAGACAGGTGGATTTCCTTCCCGAGTCGTGCTCTTTTGCAGACTTGTTTGTCATGTAGTTTCGTAGAGGGGTAAGCAGAGGTATACGTGAGATTATTGTCAAGTTGTATGTCTTTGTTTCAGAAATATTAATGATTATGAATGTCTTTTTGCTTACCTTCTTGTGGAATATCTTTATGGGATAGGCCAGCAAATGAGAAGATGGACTTAATTGTATTAATAAGCAATCCTCACCTTGCATGTACCAGAGGAGTGGCCAGCCGTTTGGGGGTAGGGTTTTAAGGATTGGGGATAGAGAAGACTGGGGTGGCAGGAAATCAGGACTCCAGTCACCTCACTCACTCAGCCGGTTTATGCCGGTTATCTGTAAAACCGTCTGTATCTTTTACGTACTTAAAATATCACAACTTTACTATATTTTTGCCTGCTTAAAACTATTCATCTGATCTAATAATTATCATGTTTAGTAGCTCAAACATCTGCTACTCAAAACCAACCCACAAGAACCTAACAACAATACAATATCAATAACCAATTGCTGCAATTTGACCACTACATACCAGCAGTAGGCGGATATGGGTCGACATTTAGTGCAGGAAGTGTTCCAATAAGTAGAGAGTACCGGTTTACCGTGAAAGCCTCCAGCGTGGGTAACAACCTCGATGACTACTCAAACAGCCAGTTAGCTTAATGTGGGAAATTATTGCAATGAACATTGAGACTTGAGACCCAGTTAGTGTAATGAGAATGAGGATTGCTGAAAGTAAAGAAATATGCCTAATAGTAAATTACAAGTTTTGTTACGTACGTATATTGTTGTACGTTAAATAGAAGTAAGTATGCCGTGTTTTTATTGTAAGGTAACTTGATTAATTCGCCTTCATTTAAAGTTTGGGGTTTTCATTCAAGTGTGGGAGAGTCATGCTTCGCCACGAATGGGCCGGCTCGACCGGAGTAATACCACGGCCTCACAGAAAACCGACGTGAAGCAACGCTTGCGTTATGTTTCGTCGTATGTTCACTCATAGTTATATAATAACTAGCTTTTACCCGCGGCTTTGCTCGCGTCACAAAAGCATAAAAAGTAACCTATGTGACATATATCAATACACCCATCGCCATCTATACCAATACTTTTGTTTTCTCTCGGGAATATCAAATTTTATACTTTATCTTTTTAACTAGTCTAGACCTTATAATAAAACTTTTTGTTCGACCCGGAAATCAAACCAAACACTTCATATTCTGTCCTATACACAAACAAACTAATGAGGTACTTAAGATTATAAATGACTATAATACAAGAGCAATAATTCTTGTCATCACAAAACGTGAGTATTCGTTTTATTTAGTGCATCATCATAAGAACTAATAGATCTACAAAAAATACCTTATTACAAAGAGGTTGTGTTACTGAGTGACATCATTTGATTATGACTGCCTCATTAGCCGAGTAGTCGCAAGTGCGACTGCCGGGCAAGGGGTCTCGGGTTCAATTCCCGGGCCAGGCAAAGGCCACGCCACAAAGGCGACACATGTCACATGATGAGGTCATAAATCCTACATCACACATGCGAAGTTTACAATCGAATTAACACGAATACAAAAATCCCAACGAACACCTGTTGGGCAGAAAGCCCGCCAGGCACGATCACCTCGCGCGGTCGGAGGATCCTCCTTTTGTACTGTACTCTCTGTTTCCTACAGGTTTTTTAAAAATCTCAGTAGTAGCACGGGGTCTGGAAATGAGACCGGTATATGGTAAATGCTCACCCTTTATTACGTGGGACTCATAACATAAATCGTGAAAAGTGGATGTTACGTTGCACAGTGTCATTACGTGCCATAATGTGGGGATAAAAGCGTGATGTTATGTTATGTTATGTTATGTTATCATTTATTTGATCACCATTCATCTGATATTATAATATATTCACATAAAAATACAGGTCCGGGGTTGCATACACAAAATGTAACAATATCTCAGTTTGTTTTTATAATAACTATCGTGAGACATACTGAATTAACTAAAAATCACTAGTCAACTAAAGTAGACTTAAGTGTGGGAGAGCCATCCTTCGGCACAAATGGGCCGGCTCGAACGGAGTGATACCACGGCCTCACAGGAAACCGATTTGAAACAATGCTTGCGTTATGTTTCATCGTGTGAATGAGGTTACAGGAGGCCAAATTCCCTGCCCCCCACTCTTCCAAAATCCCTAAAACCCCAACAATCCTCAAATTCCCAATCCCAAAAGGCCGGTAACGCACTTGCAACGCCTCTGAATTTCCAGGTGTCCATGGGCGATGCCGATTGCTTACCATCAGGTGATCTATCTGCTCATTTACCGGTTTATACCATAAAAAGAAAGTCAATCACAACAACGCACTTGTATGCTGGTCTTCTAGTGAGGCAGGTGTCAAGCACCTACTTGGTATACACATTAAAACTGCATATTTTTACGTAATACTGACCGCAATAATGTCTTCGGCATTTATTTAATGGCCGACATCGTATTATGTATGTGGTTATACAACAGCCACTGATAACATTTATTATTTTAAACAGCTATTAACGAAATTGCATCAATTAGCACCGTTTCTTATGTTCATTTTATATTAGTTTCATGTTTGTTTAGTATACTAATCGTAGTATCAGGTCTAATGAAGATTTTGTTCTTTAGTGAAGTTAAAGCCCAAGGATACACTAGGATACAATTAATGTCCCACGACATGTACCGGCGACTTTTCAAGCGAAGCTTTCCGATTTAACCCGACATATTATAAGGTGACAACGCGCGCCTTATGTCTAAGGTCTAAGGTCTCAAAGTCCGGCAACGTCGCGCTACGTCACCGAAAGTCACTGGTGACAATAGATAAACAGTGGACATCTTTTAATTTTTATGCAATATGTTTTTCAATTTCCTTATTTTTTTAAACATTGCCCCACACTAGGATTTTCTCCTGTGTCGTGGGTGCGTTTACAAACATACAAGTTCACATACACATGACACCTAGACCCGAAACAACAATCTGTGGAAGAGTTGTTCTGTGCGGGAATTGAACCCGCGTCACGTTGCGCGGCAGCCAGTTGTCCACCCACCGCGCCAATTGTACCATCGAATTTAATTCGTATTTTCTTTTTAACTACATTTTTATTTTATTAAGGGTAAGATAGGTAAGTAATCAGCGCCTCCCATGGACACTTGAAACACTAAATGAGTGACAAGTGGTTAGACCTTATTATTACTGCAAAGAGTATAAATTGCTTTGAAGGTTTCAACACAATTTTCCATGAAGTCCCTAATCAAAGAGTATAATAAGTATAGGTCCATAATTGGTTGGTACCCTTTAGTAATGTCAAACTTGACACAAGTTTTGTTGTCAAACAAAAATGACGATAAATAAATATTTTATTTGTTTATAATTATTAAACCGTAGATTTTATTATGGTGACTCCAAAAATGTCGAAGAAGGGTTTGGAAAATATAAAGCCTGCTGTAGGTGAAGCGGTTCCCTTCGAGTGTCCTTTCAGAGAGTTCCGAGATAACGAACTGCAAATAGATAGTTGGGGTTTGGTAAGACATTGAATTATTTTATAATACCCTTGCCATTATTGACCTATGACTATGATAATTATATACTAAATAACATACATAACATCACGCCTTTTTATCCCCGAAGGGGTAGACAGAGGCACCTCTGTCCCACCACATTTCGGCACTTAATGCCACTGTACAATGTAACACCCACTTTTCACTATTTATGTTATAAGTCCCATGTAATAGGGGGTGAACCTATTGCCATATACCGGCCACATTTCTAGACTCCGTGCTACTACTGAGATTTTTGAAAAACCCAGTAATACTTTGCCCGACCCGGGAATCGAACCCGAGACCCCTTGCCCGGCAGTCGCACTTGCGACCACTCGGCCAAAGAGGCAGATGATACTAAATAAATTAGGCAATGTAACTTATTCATATTATCGCTTTTTTCTTCTCCTCTAATAATATCTTCTGATTTATTTCATTGCGGGAGCCAAGACAGTTATTCATGTCCCTGAGACGCGCTGGACTTCAGTGTTTCGGTGTTTTCATTGTTGTATCTACCGTAGATTTAAGTTGCATTGGTTTTGGGGGGTTGTGGCGAGCTTGTCCCACGAAAAAAAATGTAACTTACTCCCATAACCACCGACTGGTTCGACAACAGGCGCTATGATCATCGCGTTTATCATTCATAATCTGCGCATAAAAAGCAAAAATCTGTCACAATTCCAGCTTGTACTAGTAATGAGAATTTGTCAAAAATCCTAATCTTTTTTAAAGCATAAGCTGGTAAACTAGTGGACGGATCACCTAATGGTTAGCAATCGGCGCCGCCCATGGACATCCGAAACACCAAGGCGTTACAAGTGCGTTGCCGGCCTTTTGGGTATTGGGAATTTGAGGATTATGGAGGATTCGGGGATTCGGGAATATAGGAAGGGGGGTAACTGGGCCTCCGGTAACCTCACTCACGCGACGAAGAATGGCTCTCCCACACTTAAAATATCTAGTTTTATTAGAAGAATATTTCCAAATATGCTTTTTGCATTTTAGGGTCCAGCCGCCTTGAGAGTTCACAATTTTGTAGTAAAAGCAGCTGTGAAGACCTCACATGAGCAACAGATCTGGACTGATGACCAGACCCAGCCCCTACCGCGGTCAGCACACCACTTCCTCCACGGATGGATTAGAGCTGAAGAACTGGCAGACGATAGATGGGGGGCTGAAGTACACATTTTTGAGGTGATAGGAATTAAACTGAATTTTTGGTCCCAAAGAGTTTCGTAGGGGAAAAAACATGGAGGTCTTTATACACTGCTGGGAGTGCGTAGTCAAACTTTGGCATAAATTAAAAAGCAGTTGAGAAAATAATTTTTGCTCAAAATCACTTTGAGAATTTCAAAATAACATAACATCACGCCTTTTATCCCCGAAAGGGTAGGCAGAAGTGCACATTATGCCACCGTACAATGTAACACCCACTTTTCACTATTTATGTTATGAGTTTCATGTAATAGGGGGTTAGCCTATTGCCATATACCGAGCACAATTTCCGTGCTAGTACTGAGATTTTTTTTTAAAAACCCAATAATACTTTGTCCGACCCGGGAATCGAACTCGAGACCCCTTGCCCGGTAGTCGCATTTGCGACCACTCGGCCAACGAGGCAGTCTATTTCAAAATATATACCACTTTAATCAACTCCAGAATCAAACAACGATGGTTACCAATGAAAGCTAACTCTAAATAGGTTCAATTTAATTTAAACCATGTTTGAACACGTTCAATGTGTCCTTGCTAATTCGAAGTCAGTTTAGTAAACCGGAATCGATTAGCGTACATTGAACGTAGCAAGGTAACTTCCATGTGTTAGTACTTAGTGATTGAATACTATACATGTAACGAAATGATAGATTGACCGCAATTACGATTGACGAGCAAGGGATTCTGAAGTTCGTTTCCGGATCAAGCCTATAATAATTAATAACACACTGATTGCAGCTATGTTCTACGTATTAGTATGGAAAAGTTGTAATAAAGCTTAGTCTGATTATTGATGGTATATTATGTTATAGAAATCTGGAAGAAAAATTCATTACTTTATACTATACCTAACCCGAAAATCAAACTAGAAATTCCTTGCTTGATATCTCATTATTTTTTTATTTTTTATTTGTTTTAAGAAATACGTTGCCCCACACTATGATTTTCTCCTGTGTCATGGGTGCGTTTACAAACATACAAGTTCACATACACATGACACCCAGACCCGAAACAACAATTTGTGGATCACACAAAGTGTTGTTCCGTGCGGAAATCGAACCCGCGACACATTGCACGGCAGCCGGTTGCCCAGCCACCGCACCAACCGTGCAGTCAAAGTCATTGCTTAATAAATAACCTTGCATTCCATTAAAAAGTCGCTGCGTTATGGCGCAAAAAGACTGCATCGCTCATCAATCGCCTGCGTGGAAGTCGTCACGGTATTCTGACTGCTATAGCCGGTAGACATGACTGACCATTGATGTGGAAATTAGTGCAACGGACTAAGTCCCTGTTTACTATTGCTTATTAATATTGTACCTAAATAGTTATGAATGATTGTGTTGTCTTCCTTTACTATCAGTTTGATGGATCTCAGTTATCTGAATGAATAAATAAATTATAAATTACTAGCGGACCCGACAGACGTTGTCCTATAATAATAGGTATAGATAAATAACCTAGAAACCAACTGCAGCGCCATCTGCCGGGCTGATTTGTGAATCTAAACCATTCCCAGATCCCCTTGAACACACACAAAAAATTTCATCAAAATCAGTCCAGTCGTTTGAGAGAAGTTCAGTGACATACACACTCACAGAAGAATTATATATATAAAGATTATTAAAAACCCACTTCAATAATGTTGATTAACAGGAAAATGAAGTTGGCGGAATGGCACTATCAGACATGCAGCTTGGTCACGCCCAAGTCCTGTTCAGGTCTTCGTTCTGCAGAGAAGTTCTATCTGCTTGCTTCATACTGGAACGAGTAGAAGGTTTAGCCGTGAGTAGACCAAAGATGTATCGAGGGGTAACGGGCTATTTGGTTTAAGCGACATTTTTGCAACTTTACAGGAGAGCCTTTTAAAGTTTGAAATTTCGAAAAAAAATTCGTAACAAAAACGCTTCTGCAGTTATTTGAACGGGGTAAATTGCATTGAAATTTAAATTAAATTATCTAGTTGCTGATGCTAATTCTAAATAAAGCGGACCTTTAATTACAAAGATAAATGTCGCTTAATACAATCTGACCTTTTTTAGAGTCAGGAAAAATGATTTAAGTGACTTCATAACTACAATTGGCTACAAGGGAAAAAAATTAAGCGACAATGCACTCTATTTACAGAGTAAGCTAAAAAATATGAAGTGACGAAACCCAAAATTAATAGAAGCAAGCTATTTATCTTAACTACCAATTCAGACTAAAATGAGTGACAGGCTAATTTACTTATGTGACATATAACATTGAAATTATAACGTTTAATGTTTATGTTTATTTACATCTAAGGCGATTAATGGCTGATAAAACAACCTGGATATATCGCAATCACCGAAAATCTCAATGCTTACATTGAATAAATAAACACAACAAATATCAAAGTATTTATTTAGAGTAATAATTACAGTTTCAATAGGAATATCGATTATATTTCAGCAAAATCAATTAAATTAATGGGTCATTTACTGAAATTGCCGTTTTGTATGAAAAAATTTAAACGATTTTTTCATGTATTTTTTATTTGTATAATCAACGTAATCACCCATGCAATCAATGCATCGTTGCCAACGCAGTGGCAGTTTATTGATGCCCTTCTTCAATCAGCTGGACGGGTAGCAACAAATTCTTCAAATGCATTTTGTACTGCCTCTCGGTTATTAAATTTTTTCCCGCCAAGAAGTTATCCAAATTCTGGAAAAAGAAGTAGTCTGGTGACTGGTGAGTAGGGTGGATGTCGGAGAGCTTCACAACCCCAGTTCTTGTAACGTGGAGGCCGTCTCTTGTGCAGCTTTAGGTCGCGCGTTGTAATGCAGGAGCAATGGAGATTAGCGATTGACCAGTGGTTGGAGATGTGTCAGCTTCTCCATCATTGTGTTCAGTTCTTCACACTACACATCCGTAGTAATGCTCACTCCGTTTGGTAAGAATTTGTGATGAATCAGAATAGCGCGAGCGCTAGACCATCAGTGACCATCACTTTTCTAGGGGTAAGTTTTCGTTTAGGGCATTGTTTAGGTGCTGAACTAGGATTCAACCAACATGCTAAACGCGTGTGGTTATCACACAGATTTCATTTTTCATCGGAGGTGACAATGCAAATCAAAATTCTTTCATTGTGTGTATATTGAGCAGTGCAGTGCAAGGCACTACTCGATGCATTTTTTTAAGGGTGGAAAATCATCGAATGACTGCTCCCGCCTGGGTGAGGCGGGAAAGAGTGTCAGACTCTTACTGACTAAAAATCACCCCGTTTCTTCTCCTGCACATCGAGCCGGAGCCCCGGTTACCCGTTAGGTTCTCCGCGACTCTGAATCGGCATCGACCCTGTTGGGCCCCATCTGTGGTGGCCTGATGGCTTTTTGAGGCGCGCGCGGAACGCGACGCCCCCCGTACGCTCGGGTCTGTTTCTGGTCGGACGGGGAGCCACCCATGCTCACCGTCCGCAGGCCCGCGCTTACGGTAACTGGAGATCGTCCCGCGATCCCCGACGCCAGGTGTGTCCTTCGCGATGGCTGGGTTAAGAGGAGCCAGCGCTTCGCTGCCTCACGCGTCCCGCCTCCTCCTTAGCTAGCATAACTGCTTCGCAAAACGAGGAGATGGCATCCCAGTCCCCCTCGCACTGCTCGATGCATACTTAGCTCTGTTGATCATTTAGTTTGTGGGACACCCACTTATCAAGCTTTTTTACCTTGCCAATTTGACGCAAATGTACCAATATTGTTTTGACGCTAACGTCGAAAGCTGTTGCTAAATCAGCCGTAGATTGTATGTCATCAACCTCCACAATAGCCCTTAAATTGTCATTGTTGCCAAAGTCTTCGAACGACCGCGAGGTTCATCTTGAAATTAAAGTACTTAGGATTCAATTTCGATGAGCGTTTTACGTAAACACTGGCGGTGTGCGCGCGTCCCGTCTGTCTTCGGCGCACTCTGGAGTGACTGAAGCGCCAGCGCACGATAGTCCAGTTGGATGATAACGATTTTTAACACCAGGGCGATGAAATAAATATGGTATCATATGACATGATTGAAATGTACCATATTAAAACTTAGTGATTGAAAGACCGACTCGTATTTCTATGAATACTGGAAAAATGTTTCAATATTCATTATCAATGTTATCGTCTGTATAAAACGACATGCATTAAAAAAAAAATTGAGGGTTAAATGGTTTATGACTAAACAAAATATCTGAACGAAAACAACTATTTGGTTTAAGTAGCACCCTGCGTAGAAAATAGAGGCAGCTAGAAATGTTTAAGAGACGTACCATGACGCATTTGGATGACGGACAAATGTTTTAAGCGACATCACACCGTGTGATTAGTGGGAAGTCAAAATGATTCAAGTTACTTGTTAATAAAAATTAGAAACAAGAAAAACGCTTTAACTCATATTGACTTAATAATTAGAGATAGGGTGACTGGTTTATGTCTCGGTTATTAATATGATGGTATGGTTCAAGTACATAATTTAATAAAAAATGCGAAATCCATGTCGTTTAATACACTGCCACTTTGGAAACAACATGAAAATAGAATTGTTTGAAACGCCAAAAAAGTGCACCGATTTTAATGAAACCGGCATCATTCGACGGAGAAAAATTCGCTGATTCCGAATATATATATAACTCAATATCGCCCAAAATGTCGCTTAAACCAAATAGCCCGTTACCCCTCGGTATGATTTTTTTATGGTATAGGAGGCAAACGAGCAGACGGATCACCTGATGGTAAGCGATCAGCGCCGCCCATGGACACCCGTAACACCAGAGGAGTCACAGGCGCGTTGCTGGCCTTTTAAAAAGGAATACGGTCTTTTCTTGAAGGTTTGATTGCGTCTTTTAAGAGAGAAGATTGTGATGATCACTTTTTATGGGATAAGCCAAATTAGTATAATGCGTCAAGCGTGTCTTTGCATTGTTCTCACATATACGTCCAGTATTGGAATATGTATCAGAGAAATTGTAGAACATACTTTTTAAAAAAAGTAACAAATGGAGTTTCTTGCTCGTTCTTCTCCATTCGAATCTACATTTTGGAATGAATCAAATCAAATTAAATCATTTATTCATTTGCAAACATGCGTACAAAAAAAGGTCTTCTACAAAATAGTGTCCATTAACCATATTCCACCTTAAAGGCATGCAAATTTAAAAGAAAAATACAATAATACATATTAGGCACCAATAAACTAGTATTTTATAAACGAGGTAAAATTATATAAGCTTATCCTGTAAATATTCTGTGACAGAGTAATATGATGAGCACCTAGCTTCACATAGATTCACAGACGGACTGACTGACATACTATTATTTATTTTGTATTTGTTGACGTTTCAAAAGTACCAAATTATGGTTTAATTGAAATAAATGCTTTGACTTTAACTTTGACTTTGACTTTGCCAGTAAATGAGCAGAAAGATCACCTTATGCTTCATCCGTGGTCTATGCTAGAAGTAATAAGTGATAGAAGGAAACTGTAATTTTCTTCGTTTATCATTTCCGATAAATAACGATAATAGTTTAGGGAACAGAGAGTATAGTTCCCTAAGATCGGAAAAGGAGGATCCTCCGACCAGGCGAGGTGATCGTGCCTGGCGGGCTTTCTGCCCAACAGTTGTTCGTTGGGATTTTCTATCCGTGTTTATTCGCTTGTAAACTTTGCATGTGCGATGTAGGATTCTTGTGACGTCATCCGTTGACATGTGGCATGCGTCGCCACAATAGTATAGTTAGATGTAATTTAGTCAAAGGTTTACAAACAATTGGTAATATTGTTATGTCATTGAAGTAGGCCAATTTTGTTATTGGATAAATGTAAATTCGGAGTATAGAGTGATCTTTGTGGCATACTGATACTGCCCATGGACACTTGGAACACCAGAGGCGTTACAAGTTCTTTACCGACCTTTTGGGGATTAGGAGTTTGAGGATCGTTGGGAATTCAGGGACTGGGGAGATTGAGAAAGGGTAGGAGGTAATTGGGCCTCGAGTAACCTCACTCACACGACGAAACACAACGCAAGCGTTGCTTCACGTCGGTTTTCTGTGAGGCCGTGGGATCACTCCGGTTGAGCCGGCCCATTCGAGCCGAAGCATGGCTCTCCCACACTATATAAACAATTAATGACATACCAACACATATTATATTATGTCATAGGCAATTTTTGCTTATAGCAGTTTATTATCTTTTTCAGATAGAACATCAGTCGGAAGTATTTTCATGTAGTTTCGGCCAGGAAGGATGGCGACCGAAGTATCATATTTACTCTCCCGGAATGAAACCTGGAGGAGGACCGCAGCACAAGCCTACTTTATCTAAAAATGGTAAGCAATAAGCAAGGCAGCTAAGGTGTTTTCTACTCTTTATAATAGGTAATGACATCTCATGATATTAACATAGGTAATTTTACTTCACACATTTGTTTTGTCGGTATAATTATGTCTCAACAAATTCAAATATCTTTGTTGCTGAACACAGTACATTTAGATGCATTGCGAGATGTTAGATGAATGCGCAGTACACCATGTTCCACCAATCAAGGCATGCAATTATTATTCATAAATTATAATTGACGAGGTCCAGATTATAGCAATTTTATGAATTATCAGTTCGGTCAAAATATTACAAGTTATCTTATAATAAGTTCAGTTAAAACAAACATTAAAACACAACAACACACTTTAAAACAGTATTTTATATTTAAACAATCACTTGATTTCAACTCAAATAAAATGATAATGAGGCCAATAAGAAAACTATCTACTTGTAAATATGCTTAACAACTTAGCTTAGTTTACTTATTTCTAAGAATAAAAAGAAAACTTATGTAAAAAAGCTAACAAGCGATTGTGAAGGTAAACCATCAATTTACTGACGAGAAAGGGATGCCTTGAAGTTACTTCCCGTCAGCTAAACATGGTATTATTGTTAGAAAGTAGGAAACGAAGAATCAACTGCATCACTTATCTAGATATTTTAGTACTCATTTATGTTAAAGTGTTAGAAGAAAACAGTAGTTTTCTCTGCTTATTATTTCTTATTATGTCGGTGAATTTTTGTAAAGGTGATTACAAATAATTTTGCTATTAGAACAACGAAGTTAAGTGTTCCTGTAAAACACTAGGCATAAATCTAGACTTTAAAATTTTTTCATCTTATTATAATGATAATTAGAAAATACAAAAATTTTAAAAAGTTTAAAATGTCTACACCGCGAGGACACCGGTGACCGCAACCTATTGTTCTTTAATTGTGTCTATAATGACGGTACTCAAAGGGTTAAGCAATGTTCTTCAATTTTTTTTAATGTAATTAAGGATTTTATAATAATAATCCAAAAATCAAAATAGTTTAAGGAATGTTCTTCAATTGTTTTTTTTTAATGTAATGAAGGATTCTTCAATTTATTTTGCACTAGCTTTTACTTCCATGGGAGCATTTAATCGGGATGAACAGTAACCTACCACCTAATTCAGACCATACCCTGCTTGTATACCAAATTTCATCAAAATCCGTTCAGTAGTTTCAGCGTGATTGATAGACAAACGTGTAAACTTCCAAACAAAGAAACTTTCATATTTATACACTAACGACCCGCCCTGACTTCGCACGGGTGCAATATGTATGTAATATACAAATAAACCTTCCTTAAGAATCACTCTATCTATTAAAAAAACCGCATCAAAATCCGTTGCGTACTTTTAAAGATCTAAGCATACATAGGGACAGACAGACGGCGGATAGCGACTTTGTTTTATTATACTATGTAGTGATAATAATAGTGTGATGCAAGATGTGAGCAATTAGCTTAAGATTGGTATTGTCTAATTGCATCTATCATTCAGATATTCCTTACATCATTTTCATTCTTATCTTCTATCCTCTCACAGGGTGCTACCTAGTACGTCTCTTTTACCTGGGTACGTGGCGCTGTGTCTGGGTCAGTGACTACGTTCCAGTAGACTCCAACGGAGCACCCCTGCTACCATTCTCGCCCCTTCTGACCCATCCGCCAGGGAAACCAGGGTCGAAGCAAGTACCACCAGCTGTGATCTCTGGTGTGATTTATTTGTGGCCTTTATTACTGACTAAGGTGAGTTAAGATAGCCGTTTTGGTACTTAATTTTGTAACTTGTTATCATAACATCGCGCTTTTTATCCCCGAAGAAATAGGCTGATCACAGCGGCACTTAATGCCACTGTACAATGTAACACCCAATTTTCACTATTTGTATTATGAGTCCCATGTAATCCCCTATTACCATATACCAGGCAAAATTCGCTCTAAGCGGGCATAGGTATATCGAACAGATTAGCGATATATTAAAGAAGAGCCAAATTAAAAGTACCCTTAACCAACGAGCATGTATGAAAAGACTTGTGACTGTTGAAGAACGGAAAGAAGTATGTAAGAATCGTAGCAATTGGCGATTCATAGTCTCTGCCTACCCCCTTGGGACACAGGCGTGAGGTTATGGCAGAAGATAGGCAGAATAATAACTCAATGTAACACTGACTTTTCATCCCCTTATATTATAGGTTCAGTTTCGTGTATTAGACGGTGATGCTATACCGGGACATTTCCAGACGCTGTGCTATTCGGAGCCGCGGAAGACTTAACGGGTTACCGGGGCTCCGGCTCGAAGTGCAGGAGTAGGAACGGGGTGGTTTTTAGTCAGCAAAAGTCTGACACTCCCTCCCGCCTCAAACAGGTGGAAGCAGTCATTGGATGATTTTACTCTCAAAAAAAGACGGTGTGCTATTATTGACAAGTTTTCTTAATAATTTTCCGGACTTAGGAATCGAACATGAAACGTCTTGCTCAGCCACATTTGTACCATTTAATCAACGAACCATTCCACACTACCAACAGCAGTTACATAAAAACAACCTCAATAAATAAATATCGATACACGGAAATGAAACAAGAAATGGAAGTGAATCAGTACATTTAATTAGTTACAGCATCCGTGAACACGTTTGTATTATTAATTTCTTTGAATTCACACGACTGTGATACTTTGAGATCTACTTTTTAATGTTGTGGTGATTAATTTATGCTTCTTTCCTTGGCTGTGTGGTTTCGGTAGTGTATAAGACATTTTGTCACTTTGTCAGCTCTGTACCTTTAGCCAAACGCCACTTAAGTGCTTGTCTACAGAGAGAGTAGAAATCAAAATGTATGGGGATGACACTGACAAGTGTCAAAATTTACGTCAATTCCATATAATTTGGTTTTCTATTCTACATGTAGACAAGCGCTAAATGGCATTTGGCTACAGCTACTGATCTTTTGGCGCTTGTCGTAAGTAGGATTGCCATCTATAAATTTACAAAAGTTGGACTTTACTGTAAAAACTGGACAATCGGACCTAAAGGCCTAAAATATTATAACATCTAATAAAATCACACCTTTTATCTCCGGAGGGGTAGGCAGAGGTGCACATAATGTATATTAAAACACCCACTTTTCACTATTTATGTTATGAGTCCCATGTAATAGGGGGTGAGGCTATTTCCATATACCGGGCACAATTCCAGACTCCATGCTACTACTGAGATTTTTATAAAAACCCTGTAATACTTTGCCCGGCCCGTGAATAGAGCCTCTTGCCTGGCAGTTGCAATTGCGTCCAATCGGTCAACGAGACTGTCAAAAATAAAATAAATAAATAAAGTCATAATCGTATTGTAACTTTCGTGAGACATACTAAATAAATTATTATGTCTCACGAAGTAGCAGCGCGACAGTCGCCGCGTCGCGGGTCGCGAAACGCTGCTCATAATTATAAGCCTCTAGCACGGTTTGAAACTAGTCGAGTTCCTCGTCAAATTATTACGTGAGTAAGCCGAAAACATAATAATTTAATAAAGTCATATTGTAGTAGTGCCTACATATGGAAATGCAATACATACATTTCCATAACAATTCCCTAACTTTCAAAAAGAATCACAATTATTTAGTACTTACTTATAAAAATACGAATTACGAGTATCTACAAATTGTATCACCGAGTTATTCCGTACAATCGACCACAATAAACGTTGTGAAAGATTTACAAAACATTTCAGTTATTTTATTGAATCACCGCGAAATTATAACCTTTCTAGTACAAAGAGAACGAGTAATAGGCTTATTGCTATTTTATTATAGACTTGCTTTCCGCCTGTGGTTTTGCCCGCTTTGGAAAAGGTTTCTCTCTAAAAATTTCCCAGTTCCCAGTCCCATCTTTAGTTTCGTTTAATTTTAGAATATCAATCTCGTTAGACATTAAACGCTATGTTCGAATGAAATAGAAAAGTCAATAATATTATATGTTTATGAAATTTATAAGCGTTTGCAAAGTTGATTTTTCCATGCTTTTCCACTCGCGTTTTTGTTATATTTTTTTTGAACGGACAGAAACAGAGAGTGGTGAAATAAACACGTTCATACATGTTCATTTTCCTAGTTCACCTACAGGTTCATTTTCCTGACATGAAATAGCTTAAATATGTTAATCCCCTAAATAAGACTCTCTTCCGATGAACGCGTTGCCACGATTGGCGCGGCGGCTGGGCAACTGGCTGCTGCGGAACGTGTCGCGGGTTCGATCCCTGCACGGAACAACTATTTGTGTGATTCACAGATTGTTGTTCTTGGTCTGAGTGTTATGTGTATGTGTGTGTTTGTACGTTTACAAATACCCACGACACAGGAGAAAATGTTAGAGTGGGGCAACGATTTAAAAAAAAAAGGATGACTGGTGTTTGTAATAAGGTTCACTCGACGAGCAGGGGAGTGGAAAAATGAAATGCGTGTTGTCCACATGCAAGTGTATTAGCGACTAAAAAATGTTACATAAAAATACTGTTTTAACCATCGACTTGACGTACCTATGTATAGCTAAATATATGGAACTGGTTTGTGAGCAGCCACGACAATTCTTACATCAACATACCGCCCACCAAAAGGACTTTAAGTTCTTTTAAAAATAAAATAAGATCATTTAGTAATCTAAGTACGTACATATGTGAAGTTATATAAAGCAAGGTTCAAAACGTACAAAAATGCAATCTACAATATAAGTTCAAGAAAAATCAATTGACTTAAATTTCTTATGAATTATAAAATCTAACAATTAATGATTCAATAAAAATCGTTCATGTCTAAGTGGAATCAACAGGCAGTGCACATAACTTAGTAATTGTTCTCTTCGTAATAGAATTTCCATTTTTCACACTATATACTCTGGTATGACCATCTGCGCCTGGATGTTTTTCTATAATTCGCCCTAAAGACCATTTTCCGGGTGGCAGATTATCAGTCTTTATCAACACAATATCGCCTATTGAAAATTCTTTCTCCTTCTTCATCCATTTAGGACGCTGCTGAAGTCTAGTCAGATATTCTTCTTGCCATCGACGCCAAAAATCGTTCAGGAGCTTCTGTGCGTGTTGCCAACGTGTCAAATTATGCATTTTCACAGCTTGAAAATCAGGCGAGGGTACCACTATAGGTGGTTCCCCTATCAAAAAATGTCCAGGAGTTAATGGATTTACGTTTTCTGAGTCAGTATCATCTATAGGACATAAGGGTCGTGAGTTAAGGCAGGCTTCTATCTGGCACAATATCGTCGTCAATTCCTCAAACGTGAAGTTAGTAGTTATTATGCGTTTCAGATGGTATTTTATTGATTTAACGCCTGCTTCCCACAATCCTCCGAAATTCGGGCTGTATGGTGGAATAAAGTGGAATTGAGTGCCATCGGCAGTTAGTGTATTTGCTATTTCTGTTGTCATCTGTGCTTCATTCCATAACTCATAAAGTTCTCTACCTGCTCCCACGAAGTTTTTACCTCGGTCACTCCACAGATGACTGCATTTACCTCTCCTGGCAACAAAACGTCTAAATGCTGCGATAAACGCTTCTGAGGTAAGACCTCCCACTAATTCTATGTGGATTGCCTTTGTGGACATGCATATAAATATTGCAATATATGTTTTAGTTGTTTTGTTTCCTCTGCCTTTAGACACTAGTGTTTGAAATGGTCCTGCGAAATCCACACCACTGTGCAGAAACGGTCTCGTAGGCGTAACTCTTTCTATAGGTAAGTCACCCATTATTTGTGCTTTGGTTGTTGCATTGAAACGAGCACACTTCATGCATTTGTGCACATGTTGTTTGACCAGTGATTTAGCTCGTACAATCCAGTATTTGAGACGTAGGTAACAAAGCATCAACTGGACCGCCATGCAGTGTTTTATGATGTGCATTAGCAACAATTAACTTAGTTAGAGGGTTTGTCTTGCCTAATATTATAGGATTCTTCGCGTCGTTTGGTAAATTGGCATGTCTCAAACGACCGCCCACCCTGAGGATATTTTTCTCATCTAAATATGGATTTAGAGATCGTAGCTGACTTCTTTTTCTTACTTGTTTCTTGACCTTTAAACAATCTATTTCTTCTCTAAATTCTTCTTCTTGTGCCTTTTTAATGCAGATGTTTAAAGAATCTTCTAATTCTTGTGTTGTTAAAATTTGATTATTTTCGTAATAATTATTTTTCTTACAGTTTAAAAATCTTCTGCAATAAGTAATAGTTTTAATCAATTCTGTTAAAGTTTCAAAGTTTTCGAATTGTGATAGTAATGATGTTTCCCGGGCTCTGATTTCTTCTGTATTAAGGTAAGTATTTATTTTAGTTGTCTTCATTTCTAAATCTGTTTCTGTTTTCTTATGTTTAATCTTGATTTCTTTTTCAGATAGCCAGCTTGGTCCGTGCCACCACAAGTTACTTTCTTTCAGATCGGATAACAACATACCTCGTGACGCCAAATCAGCGGGATTTTCGTGTGACTGAACGTGGTACCATTGCTTATTATTGAGGTTCTCGATTATTTCTACCACACGGTTTGCTACAAAGGGCTTCCATCTATTGGGTTCGCCACAAAGCCATGCGATGACGATCGAAGAGTCGGTCCATGCAATCATGTTTGATGTTGGTATTCGCATTGATGTTCCAACTTGCTTCATTAGTTTTGAAAGCAATAGGGCTCCACTGAGCTCAAGGCGAGGTA